TTTCCTATCTTGGTTTGATTTATTCGACATGGTTCTCTTGTTTTTATGAGACATACCATCAGAAATACACATGTTTATTAGGATAACCCATATCTAGTGAAATAAAATGACAAATCTGATAAGAAATTGATTCGTTGGAAACTTTTGACTCATAATGATTCTGAGTTTCATTCTGCTGCTTCAAATACTTCCTGAATACAAGTCCCTCCAGATTTCTCAACAAGCGTCACGTGCACAATAAGTTTGTTTTGGCTGGAATTTATTTTCAGACTTATCCAAGGCTAGTAAAACTTCATTTGGTTCTGGACTTAGGTATGACTGTAGATTGCCTGTGTCATGGAATGAACCAAGAGAGGCATATAATCGCTTCTGAATATGGAAATTACCTTTCGACATGGTGAGTAAAGATAAATGATTATTATATACACTCAACTTGGTAAAATCAGAGCTGCAGGGTTTATCATCACTAGTGGTAAGAGTGTAGTGACTCACATTTACCACGAGAACACGACTGGTTTAATAAAAACAATTATTATTATTATCAACTGTACCAGTGTTTGTTTTAACGTGCTTTTGTTTGACTGTGCTAATGACAGCTATTTTGTGCTTCCATTCTTTTGCTTACACTTCGATTGTAACTTCGCGCGAATTCGGTTACCTTCTGTAACCGAGGTTGTATCCTGGCACGATCTCGGTATCCTTTCGATGCCACGAAACCGCCAGCAAATATAACTCGACTTGGTCCATTAATTGTCTTCTGATATTTGGCTTCTCGGGGATTTTATGGATTTATTTGGTTACGTTCAACCTTCGCCTTCTGATTTACTTGGCACGTGTTTCTTGGTAGCGGTGTTCATAGTTAATCTCAACTCGACGCCACGCTACAAGAGGAACAGTAGCTCTGCGCACACGGAAATTGGAAACATTATTGAACAAACGCGACCTTCAGTGAAACTTCATAGTTTCTTGCAGTTTCGAGGCATAAATTTAAACATGTTGTTAATGAGTTAGAAATGGAAAGTATGAGTTTCTTCAGCAGCCCGAGGTGGATTCACTATAGTTAAGTAGACGTATTTGATATTCAAGTGATCACATCGTGAAGACTGGGATAACGGATTCTGTAAAAATTACGTCCATGATGTGTTTAACCTTCCATAGCAGTCTAAGAACACCCTGGTCTCTTTAGAATCCAGCTCCGCCAGTGCTGATGTCAAATCATGTTTATAGAGATGGATGAATAATTCTTATTGCGGTTGCTACACTCAAATTACACCAGGAAATTTCTGTCGAGTCACTCATATACCGTACTTTATGCAGGTTTTTTAGCCTTCTTAGAGAACGCATTTATGATGGTGCTGTGTAAAAAGTGTTGACGTTTATACATTCATATAGATATTGAATTTCTGGGACTTCTTTGTCCAGTCTTTCGGATCACTCGCCTTGTGCTATAGCTTGTGCACATTGTGGTCGAAGTAGGATGAAGAAGATAACGTTTAGAGGTATAGTAAGGTTCACTAAGTTCAATAACCTATGACGTTCTTGTTGTTGATTGTTTGGCGAGGGGTTTTCGCCTTTTGTTATCGAAATAAACACGGAACCCTGGTAAAATTTCTAGTTTTTCTTGGTTTTATGAAATATCGGAGAGCTTGAAGGGGAGCACTTAAGGTCTTGACATTTTTGCTAGTGTGTTGGCAGCGAAAACATATGTATTTAGCTTGCTATTAACCAAATTCAATTTTGTATATTTCGATTGACTTAAACTGTCACTGTTGAATCAACCGGTGGTTAAACGAAATACTATCTGGTAGTCCTGATAGTGAACACAACTTAGAACAACGGCAGTGGGAACAGTTATGAACCAAAATGTAACAATTTACGATTTTAATTTTAGCATTAAATTAATGAACAGGCAAAGTCCGTGAAATAAGTTCAAACAAGAAAGCGGCTACCTGACATGGTAACTCATGAAAGTCAAAATATCAAGTAAAACAACGATGAAACAGCTGTGATAATCTCAACGACCCCGAAGGATTGTTTGAAGTTTAAGAATGGTAAACGCCATAACAATAATGAACACAAACAAACAAAAAGAATGCATTGTTGGCCCCCTTTTCGTGTCAGTGTGTACGCCTCATTTTGCCTATGGTTTCAGTGGGTCTTTATTCTGACCATGAATCAATCTGCTGCAGGTTCAAGCTTCACTGTAGTTTCTATATCTTATCTATACATAACTGATCTGACTGCGAGTCAGACTTTAAGTGAGTGATCGAATCAGTGGTGAACTGTACTACACAGTCACTCTTAACATACGGTATGTAGGATTTGTGTTGATACATTTCGATATTCTTCAGCCTTCTGTGACTATATGTCTATCATTTGACCTTGGTTAAGGACTGAATTTAATATTGCATCTTATTTTTCTATGATGCCAGAACATAGACATTAAGGTCACGTTTTACAGATGGTTACAGAGGGAAGCGACTGTTTATTTATGCCCCTAATATGTCCTCTTTTAGCTGTTTTTTCTATATGATTCTTGGAAACAAATTTCTAATTAATTCCTTTACGAATAATCCCATTGATTCTTGGGTACTTGACGGTTGTATTTAGTGATCATTTATGCCGAATAGTAGTCCAGTTTGTACCAGAGAGAATTTTTATTGTGCGGTAATCGGGTAGTATTTCTGAGGTATTTTTCGTTTTGATATATTTTATTATTATTATGCAGCATAGAAAGTATTTAAGCGTCGAATTATGTCTCGGTGACAATGAAGTACTAACATCGACTATGAGTGACTCAAGGAATATCCACTGTCTACACAAAACGGTGCAGTGGCTCGGTTGACTTGGTTTCGGGGTAACATGAGTCAGTCGTGGAGTTATTGACTTGGCTCATCTTCAGTATATGGCACATGTCAAGGATATTATAGAAGCTCAGGCACTTTACACACATTTAAGTCTGTACACGTTTATATTTTCAAGACCTTTAATTAACTTATTTAACGGACAGTTCCATTCGGTTTGTACTGACTTGTCTATATCTTTTTATCATTATTATTATATTTGTATGAGCATGTATACTTGATCACGTGTTACGGCCTGCATATATATCCCTCTTAATAACTTAAATGTCGGTTGCTTAAATCGCTTGATGACTAATTTAGTCTATTAAATATATATGGTTCTCAAATCCTATCCATTCGTTTGCCTGCACTCACGTTTCTACTTTCACTTCCTCAGTGTGTATATGGCTTTTTGATGAGCATTGTACAACAATAAGTGATTGTCATTACTTTGTATGGATTATTAGGATGAGTGTCATACGAAGCCTTAGAAATTATCTAGATATTCCATGACAAAGTAAACTCTGTGGTGGCTAGAGGTTCAAGACATTCAATGTTCCGTCATTTTGACTGTCCACCGTCAACAATCAACGGCAATGAAAATAAGATCATATCTTGAACAGGCTGACTAGCTAACTTCACCTGGGTTCAAGTGAGACAAACATATATACCACTATAAATCCCACCCGATATGAGTGATTTGTTGGGTCGCATCTTTGAATTCGCTTGTAGTTCGTTCGCGCATTCTTGTTTTGTTCTCCTTGCAGCCTTGACCTTAGTAGCTCAGTAGGAGAAATAGTACTTATGAGTGGAATAAGAGACTCCAGTTTTAGTCAGAAGTGTAAAGAAAGATGAAAACTAAAACTATTGGTCCTCGTTTGTCCGTGCCGTCAGCTAGTTGTGCTGAACTCGACCGTCATTGTCGTGGATTACTTAAAGTTTGTTCGATTCTACAGAGTTATAAGGGTCCTTTCTTCTCGAATTAGGAGTTGTCACATTAATGCCTGTTGTTGGCTTCGTCATGACTGAATGACCTTGATGTTAATTAAACACATATCCTGCCTAACATTCTATATGTTTTACCGGATAATCATGTCAATACAATGTAGTAATAAAGCACAGAATACGGGTTGAATATACGCATGTATATTTTAAAAATTTAGGAGGGCAGGCAAACTTAACGGGTGAAAATTGAAACTTGATAGATGCAAATTAGAGATCCCGTAATAACCCATTCAATAAATAAAGGGTGACTCAGACTTTGTATGAGGTAAAAAATGAATGAAATGTTCATTAGATGGTCACAACTAAAATATATTCAGTGTTCACGGTGAATGATCTACACGAACACATGTGAAAATAGACAAACTGCAGTATAGGTCAAAAGAGATAGATATGCAATCATACAATGTAGTCAATAACGCAACAGTTAGACATGCAAAATTCAGGAGGAAGCATGCAAATAATATACCAGTCTTTTACATTATCCTGCAATACTATTGTTTGCTTGACCAAATATTTCTGGTCTCATTGTTAAATCTAAATTTTCATACTGTGAGACGGTTTAAGGACGAAAATTCAACAAATTGACACTCCTAAAAATCCAGGAAGTTGAAATTTCATATATGTAGCTGAGAATCCATCAAAATATTGTTTTTTGTGACGGATTATAAAGATTATTTCATCAGAAACCTTCAATATTAGGATTTCCTGAAGTCTAGGAACAAAGTAACAAGCAAAAATATGAATCCAAGTATTCAATATCAAAACGGTAAACCAACCAAGTATATGGATTGAGCATAAAATGTGTCAAATTTTAATAAAAAAGGGGCAAAAGTTTAGACAAGGCAAAAACGGCAGTCCACTATAAACCTGTCCGCCGTTTCAATTCAACGACCTTGAACGGCCCGAATGGAGGCGTTTATTCCGTATTCCAATTGCCATGGGTTGGTTGGATTATATGAATATCAAGTTTTTTTCATATATAAGTCATCTTATGCTGCATAAAAAAGCATGAAATGAATACCAAAAACATTAATTTAGCATTCTCTGTTTTTTAGTGTACACTTTGGCTCAGTTGTTGCTTTGTAATCTGATCTGTGATCCCAACAACTGATTCAGATTTGTGTAGTAAGGACAGAAGGCCTACGGCCTATGTTATTCCTTTTCTAGTATGCTTCTGTTAGTGTCCAGTCTTCTCTTGAAAGAGTCAATTGAAGGTGCGGGCACCACCGCTTCAGGCAGCAGGTTCCAAGTATTGATGACTCGGTGTGAAAACCTGTATGCCACGGGTATTTTGTTCGTTCTTGGCTTTTCTACTCGCCTGCTATGTCCTCTGAGGTGTCCCGATCTAGTGGGAAGAAAGAGAGAGAATAAGTTAGGTCCGAAATCATTTCTCAGTATTCTGTACATCAATATTAGATCTCCCTTTAGTCTGCGGTAGGACAGAGTAAAGAGGTTCAGTTTTTCAAGCCGCTCTTTATATGATAAACCCCGGAGTTCCGGAATTGCACGCGTAGCTGCCATCTGTACCTTTTCTAGTATGTCTGAGTCACCTTTTAAACAGGGGCTTGCAGCCTGAACACAGTTCTCTAACTTAGTTCTCACTAAGGATGTGTATAATGTGGTGAACATGGTAGTATCAAACTTAGTGAATGTCCTCTTTAAAACCCAGAGGGTTCGAAACCCCTTAACTGCGACCTCCTGGCAATGGGTTGTTGTCTTAAGATCATTGCTCACTGTCACCCCTAGGTCCTTATGAGACCGGACTACTGGTAATGACACATCCCCTATGTTGTACGTATTAACCTTTGAATCCACCAAGTGCATGTAGACATACTTTTCCGAGTTGATAGGCATCAGCCACTCTTTAGACCAGTTTATCATATTATTTAAGTCCGCCTGAAGAGTAAATGCGTCTTTGTCTCCAGTTATTACTCGCCAAATTTTTACATCGTCAGCGTATAATAACATTGGAGACTACTATACTTGTAAGATCATTAACGTACATTATAAAAAGTAAAGGACCTAAGACGGAACCTTGGGGTACTCCACTAAGTACTGGTCTCCAGATGGAGCACTTGGAATTTATTCTTACTTTTTGCCTACGACCTACTAGGAAATCCTTAATCCATTTTAAAAGAGGTCCGGCAATACCAAGGTTTGCCAACTTCAATAGCAGTCTATTAGTTGGCACCTTGTCAAAAGCCTTACTGAAGTCTATGTAGACAACATCCACTGAGTTTCCGTTGTCTAGCGCATTAATCCAGAGCTCCCTAGCTATAAGGAGGTTCGTTGTACAGGATAGACCCTTTCTAAAACCATGTTGTGCCATGTTCAGCAAGTTATTGGTTTCCATAAATCCCGTTATGGTCCGTTTGATTATTCTTTCCAGTATTTTAATTACAACACTGGTGAGGCTTACGGGTCTGTAATTCGATGGAACTTGTCGTGGACCTGTTTTATGTATGGGAGTGACAATCGCGTCCTTCCAGTCCATAGGTAACACACCTTGGTCAAGTGACATTTTGAATATCACAGTCAGTGGGGCTGCGATATATTGGGCAATATGTCTTAAGATTTTAGGGTGTAGTTCATCTGGTCCTGTTGACTTCTCCATGTTTAGGGTGCTAAGAGCCTTAAGCACATCGTTTTGGTCGAAGTCCACGGTGAGCAGCTGGTTTGTTGACTCTGTAATTGGGTCTGGTTCTTTCTCTAGAGGAGGTTCCTGAGTGAAAACTGCCCCAAAATAGTCAGCCATAACCTCAGCTTTTTTCTGATCTTCCTCTATCATTTCAGATTCACTTCCTACTTTAATTAGGTTGGGGATCCAATGATGAATCCTTGTTCTGTAGTTTATGTACGAGAATATCCTCTTGGGCTGCTTGAGTGCAGATTGTGCCAGCTGCATTTCATATTTTCTTTGCGCTTCCCGAATTTTAGTTATACACTCGTTTCTTATCGATCTGTAGCGTTCCATCGTACCTGCTGTGCCAAGGCGGATGGCAACATCCCAGCATTTCTTCTTTTGTCTTAGTAAGCGTCGAATATCCCGCCCTATCCAGGGATGTCCGTGCTTCTTTTTCTTTGGGACAGTCCAGGGTATGTATGGTTGAGTTACCCGATTGTATAACTGCCTGAATAGAGTCCATGCCTCTTGTACTGATGCCTTTGAGTCAATTTCCCAGTTCTCAGCCGATGCTGCGGAGTTAATTGCCTGCATATCTGCCTTCCATATGTTAAGACGGGCCGGCGCAATTGTTTGACAAGCAATCTCAGCCATGAATTTGAATAAGATGACTGCATGGTCACTTCTCCCAAGTGGTGGGAGAAAAGCCGTTTGACCAACGTCATCACCGTGCGTGAAGACTAAATCTAAAAGAGAAGAAGAGTTTCTTAAGTCGTATCTTGTGGGATCTCTAATGTGTTGGAATAATGCTAGTCCAATCGAGGTTTCTAACAGTTTGGAGTCGAACGACGATATGGATGACCCTACTTCTAAGTTAACCCAGTTTATATATGGTGCATTAAAGTCGCCTACTACAAGGCTTTTACCGTTGTTACACCAGGACTTAAGTTTACTTAGGAGAAAATCATCTGCTACACTTTCTGGACTGCGATAAACTACAACTACTTCAATATCTTGCCTTCGGCATTTCAACTTACATCTCACCAGTTCACATGTCCCTGAAACACGTGCTACTGTCTCAGCTAATCTTATGGTTAGGGTACTTTTCGTGTACACAATAACCCCGCCTCCCCTTCGGTTTAATCTATCAGCCCTACTGGTTATGAAACCAGTCAACTGGATTTCACTATCTAATACTTCTGACGTTAACCAAGTTTCCGAGACAGCGATAACGTCCGGTTTTTCTTTATCCACCACTGACTTCAGCTCCGCCATTTTATTTAGTAGGCTGCGAGCATTTGTGTAGCACACTTTTAAGTCTGTGGAGAGCTTTCCCTTGCCACCCAGAGTGGCTTGGGGATCGTTTTGCTCCGAACTTTTACAATCTGAAAACCCTTAAGAACGAGGTTTCTTTCACCGTTTCGGCGACGCTCGTTTATTTCCGCTTCTGCAGCTCTTCTCTTAATACGATCAGCTAGGCTGAGATCCTCACGGACATATATTCCGGATCCAATCAGTTTACGTGAATTACTTAGAATCAGGTTCCTTTCTTCCACCGTGTTGAATGTAACCTTTAGGAGGCGGTTTTTCTGAGGACTTTCGGAATCCACCTTTTTTCCTATTCTATAAAGCTTACAAATACTAACTCCTGAAACTGTATCTGGGAGTAGTTTACTTAATGATGTCTTAATATGATTGAGATCATGTTCGAATCTTGCCTTTAGCTCAGTATCTAAAGATTCTCTTATCTTATGAAAAATGACTGATCTATCAGAGAGATCTGTCTTGTCACGCAGTGGGGATTTTTCTTCTGATAACATCGCTTCCAATGTCTTGCTGACCAGCTGCGTTTTGCCTACAGCCTTTTTCTTCTTATTTTTTTCTTCTTACCGAAGTCCATTTGTCACCACTCAGAACAGCCACACCTGGACTATGTGGAACGGTGACAGTTTTATCCGGATCTTCTATTTCAACTAGAGGTGTATGACTGCCGATGTCAATATCAAGCGACACTTCATTCCTCGTTAATGTCAACGGAGATTTCACGTTCCTGTCAACTTCAGTCAGGTGTATAACGGGTCCAGTAGCAGCACTTACTACACTGACACATTCTTCATCGTCAGTGCTTTCGCCATCGTTTTTCTTGCAGGCCAAAGCCAATAGGCCCATAGCCTCCTGTATTAGTACCTTTTTATCCGTACAGCAGAACATACAAAGCCAATGCGAGTTAGGCTTCGAGCATCTTTTGTAAGCCGTCGGACTTAGTCGTGTACACATTTTGTGGTACCACTTTTTACAATCGTCACACTGCATTCCCTCAACGGAGAACAAACAATTTGGTTGCCCACATTTGTGAATCTTACCAACCATTGTAATTCGATTTAAAAGGTTTAAAAACAAAAATGATAACCATGTGAACACAAGTGTTAGTCAAGGATTAAAAACAGGTACTCAGGACAAAATTAAGCAAAAAATTTCAAACTTTAACCAAAGTACTTTTAGTTGAAGTAGACCAAGAATACTTTTTAGTGCAATAAGTACCCAAAGCAAGTATAATCACAACAAGTACAAAAATCTATGCCCTTTTAGAAACTAGCGCTGTAGTAAAGCTCAACGAAATGTCAAGTCACAGGTAAATCCTAAGTGTTTGTAGTATTTCCTTGGGTTATTATTGTTACAAGGAATAACTTTTTGATAATTAATCATGTCTGTTTTTAGTGCTTCATGCTCAAGTGACATTTCAGTCGGCCTTACCGATGCCTTTCGAAGCATGATACTGAACAAGCGTTTCGTGTTCTGGGATGATTTTGATAGCGTCTTAAAAGAGGTTTGAAGGAAGGTTTGAAAGTGAAGCAAAAATCGTAAGATCCTTAACTAATATCTGATGTTTAAGGTCTAAATTCCGTGTAAAACTAGAGGAGCAAGGATATGTCATCAAATCCTACAACATGCTCCACAATCATCCATGTAGTAGTTCATGGATGGTATGTGATCCATGGACAAGGAGATTATCATCAGAAGAAAAAGAGAACTTGAAGCCAGTAATACTGCACTGTGAGTTAGCAGATGAAGTTATCGAAAGTATTAAGGAGAGAACTGGTAAGTAACCGCTGCCGATGTCAAAGGTATGAAAGCTACACTCTCCACTGGTAAGTGTATATAAATATATTTCAGGTTGTACTCGGAAGCAGGTAATGCACATGATGCGACAAAACGGTGAAGTTAGAGAGCATGTAGAAAATGGATGTATTACGGCAATATGCTTCAGCAGTTATGACCAGATACGGTTGTACAATCAATATCCCGAAGTCGTGTGTATTGATTCTACGTATAAAACTAATAATAAAAAGTGAATATGATTTTCGTTTTGTTCTACTATGTAGATATTCATTATTCCAGTTAGTTGTGACAGACAATTGGGGTCGAGGAAGAACTGTTATGTTTGCGTGGACACGAAAAGAAAAGCATGCCGATGTTATATGGATTTTAGATAAATTCAAAGAGATAATGGGTAACACAACAATAACAGAAACATTTGTGATGGATTGCGCACGATCTGAAAGCGCGGCTGTCCGTATAACACACGGGCATGCAAACATCATTTTGTGCGCCTTTCATGTAATTCGCGCTTTCCGGAAAAAGGTACACCACTGGTTGCTTAAATAAAATTTCCCTTAGACAAATGATAAAATACTAAAAACCTACTTGACTCGATTGGTAACTGCAGAAACGGTCGGAAGGTAATTTTTTAATGTATTTATTCACTAGATTTAATCAATATTACAGAATAATAAACCGGAGAGACAGAGTGATAGGCCAGTACCTATCACGTTTTTGGATGTTGCGTAAAACTATGTGGGCACGTGTTTTTATATGGCAATGTTCTAACTTCGGGTAACAACACGAATAATCGTGTTGAGTCACCAAATAGGCAGATAAAAAGATATGTACGCAAAACCGACAGGTTGCACAAATGCATGTACAAGGCTTTGAAGTGGAGTTCAATGACTTTCTCTAGGAAAAGCATTGAAGACTTTTGTGGCCCGTGGTTCTGACTCCTGTTTAGATTGTATGGATGTTTGCTATCGCTGATTCTCGTATATCATCGTCGACTTAAATCACGTTAGTCAATAACGCAATTTAGATAAGTCAAATAACGAGAATGGGATTTTGAATAAATATATTTTGTATGTAAAGTGAATGTAATAGAACAGAGTAAAATGACGCGCAGGGAAGATGGCGGGGAAGCCAACTTCATTTTAGTCAAGCGTTACTCAATATTTATAGTCAGACGAAATTAAGCTACAGACATGTGATTGATAGGATAGGAAGGGCACACATATAT